AACTATATAAATTTAAGTTAAAACAATAAAAAGATTAAAACAAAAATAATTTACTATTTAAATATAAAAGTTTAAAAAAATTAATTTTTTAATTTAACCTTTTGATAATTTAATGCACACCTTAACAATTTATAGAATATCAGTAGAACTGTACTAAGTATAATATAGTGATTAGTGAGCATATAAAGTGCCATATTTTTATATTATTTGAATAATATTATACGCATATACGTACTCWTGTACTACATATAGATTTTTAATTTTTGTGTCATAATTGATCAAATTATTTATTTATCCATTTTTCAGTAAAATGGATTTTATCTAATCTGAAGTTTACCCTGAGGTAACTACATGGTATAACTAGGCACACACGATGAGCATTTCCTTTTATATACTCGTACCTAGGTTAGGTATATATTGTAAAAACACTAAATAATAAGAATTTTTAATTTCCCACTGATAGAACTCATATCTCTCAAACTCAATAATTTTAAATACTCKTTTATATTCCAACGTGACTTTCATACCGATATTTGAACCATAAGATCAGTTAGACATTTTTAATGGTGTTCTGTCTTTTTAATAACTATAAAATGGCGTATTGGATAGGCAATTTAGATACACTACTTTTATTGAAATATATAATTTAGTATTTACATTTTACAYACAATTATTTTTAAAATAACTCTTAAAATTTTCACTTCTAATAGTTACTCACAACTTTGAGTTGATATTATTTTAAAAATCCATGGCAAATATAGAAAATCTATTTAGAGAATTTATCCAAAATTATTTAAAAAAAAAWWATCTAAGACTAATAATAGTTTAAAAAGAGTGAAATATTTTGAAAATGTTACCACGCATGGCGTAAATATGCATAATAAATATTTATTCCATTATATTCATAGACATTTGCATCAAAAATGCCAAAATAAAATTTATAATAATATGATTGATAAATAATAAAAATAATATACATCAAAATTGTAATTGAATTAAATTCTATTATACTTATTTAGTTATTTAAAAATACAATTTTTTCAATCCATGGAATATAATTGGCTACTCTAGTATAAATTCCTGGAGTATCCTTGTCACCACAAAATTTTCCAAAAGATGTAATCCCGTATTGTGTATACATACCCGTGTAGTTGACATGTTCCAATTGAAGTGGACCTCCCGAATCACCCTATAATAAATTTGAAATTATTCAATTTTATGCTACAGGCTATTTGCTCCCTGGGGAATGTGGATAGATGTGCCTGGAGAATAAGGTACACCTACTGAGAGTAGGTTATCAGTTTATCACTATGCGCTCATTTCACATACAACGTTAACACTGTAATTTATAAAATGGATTATTTATATCTTTGTAGATACTTAGGTCAAATAGATTAGTAGATTGTAGTAAGTTTATAAAAATTGTCTAAATACTATACCTAGGTAGCTTAAGTTTTATATGGTTGTCAAAATGTTGTGTAAAAATCTTCGATAATATTCGATTCGACAGTTTCAATACGATTCATTATATTTTTATATACGCACTACAATTTTTTTAATGCAATGCTAACTTATATTACTCGAAATCAAGTTTCTACTGAAGTCGAATTTAAGTTACGAAAAATTGAACATTCACGATTTTTAGTAGTATTTGTTATTTTAAAATTCATTTTTATACCTACTAACGTACTCAAGTATAAAATTAGTTAAAGATTTGTAGTTTGTGTAAGGTTACACAATGCATGTACAGAGAGATGTGAAGGTCCTCATGAAGTGCAATTAAGATAAAATAGTTTTATATTTGATAATATCGATAAGAGTGCAAGGTAAAATTAATAATAGTTAAAATTGGTAAATAATATGTACAATAGTTATAAGGTAATATAATGACGTATTGCTTAGTAGTCCAGAATACAGTTTGGTAACGTTGCATGATGGTTTTAACACATTTCATTAAAAATCTGTAGGGCACAAATGGGTTGTAAAAAATTAAAAAGGTATGGTGGGTGCAAATGGGTTGCATCGCAATCTTATATCAACATACAAAACATTGCAAATACATTAAAAGTTTTTAGTTATACTACCATGCAGCTGTCTTTTGTGCCATCAAACGAACCCGCACATATCATACTGTCAGGTAATACTCCAAATTTTAACTTTGGATCRTTATAATAACTTTCRTTGCAGTGTTTCATCGAGAAAATATCCAAATCCACTTTTAACAAATTGTCACTAAGTGGTCCTGCTAAAAAATCCAAACGAAAATAAAATATGTTACATTTTAGCCAACTAAGGTGGTAGCAAATTGCATCTTTTTAAATTTTAAGCTATCATTTAAACCAACCCGTTGAAATTCGTCCCCATCCAGTAGCTATTTGCTTTAACGGTGTTAAAGATGGATCAGTGTTGAGACAAATCGGTCGAACTTTTTCGGAAAATATGACGTTCCTTTCTAAACGGAATAAGGCTATATCGTTGTACAGCGAAGGTGGATTGTAATCGGGATGTATTACATGCTCCACTATGTGATARTCTTTTGGCCGATCTACCGTATTGCTTTCATTTATGACTCTTTCTAAAACTCCAAGGCGAACCCAACGAGCCACATTYCTTTTTAAATTAAAAGAAATTTATTTCCATGATGAATAACAGACATCACGCTTTTCATTTTAAGTTATTTAAGTAGTATCTAATTTGTAACGTCGTATTTACCCAGAACTTTCTTGACAGTGCGCTGCAGTTAAAATCCAACTTTTGCTTATCAGCGAACCTCCGCATTTCCAATCCTCTCCATTTGTCGTGTTGACGCCATAACCTATTAGCGCCTATAGTTATATGTTTATAACAATACATAATAGTATACTATACCTATTTCGACTTTGAGTATATGTATGATTAAATATTACCATGTGTGGAAACTCTTGAACTTTGGCTGGTATGCCACCCACTGAATATGGATAAGGTTTTAGAGCTCGACGTTTACGATTTATTATTATCGTGGGTAGAAATTCTTCTTTTTTAGATTGTTTACCAGTCACAGATGAATGCCTATATTTATTTTTMACTAATTTGGAATACTGATAACATTCTGAAAATTATTAAATTAATAACATTTATTTTAATAGGTATGACTAGGTGTAACTGTGTACTACTGTGTGTAGTGTGTGTATAAATGATGGTATAAGAGAACGTCACAAACTGCATGAGTTGTCTCCRTCTTACAAATGTGTAATTTACGCTCAGCAGATTACGCTTATTTCCGTTAGCTTAAAATTTAGAGTTAATTTACCCCTTATAAAATGTGAAGATAAGAACATTATCTGTGACATTTGTCAGTTTTTACGACAGTTCAAATTTTTAGCAAACCTTGCATATATAACATACCATAAATTAGATATGATCATATCTTTACTTAAAAACTGAACTATCATAAAAAACCAAAATACCGCAGGCATAGATAATGTTCTTACAATCAAGTTTCATAATAGGCTATTCACTCAACATTTTAAACTAACGGAGCTAAACGAGATCTGCTGAATGAAATTTGCTATGTTTTGCATTTGTAAGACGGAGACAACAACTACGGGTCAACGGGTGTAACATCCTCTTAATATTCAAAATCAGTTAGAACTAAAATCATTATTATTCGAATATAAAAAGTCCATAAAAATAATTAAATTGCATTTTGTTTTAGATTTTTTGCTTCAGTAAGAATTATTGACAAGGAACTTCAATTTTTTATTTTTATAATATAATTTGCAAATTTTCGTAATTTTGTAAAAATTTGAAATTTCAATACTAATACAAAATAATAGTACTTACATATCCTTACTATTACTATGTTTAATATTTTAAATCTATAATATAAACATCTATAATAACAACTTATGAGAACCTTTATTCGGTCCAAAAGTTTAAACAATTGTTTAAATATTTTACTATCAATAGTCATAAAAAAAAAAAAAAACATAACAAAATAGTAGTTGCTGGATATGTTTACTTTTGACTCCTTCAAGCCTTCGAGTTATTATAGTTTACCAATTAGCTACCAGAAACCATACTAACCACCAACAAAGTTGAAGATTAAAGTATTTTTATTGTTTCAAAGAGAGATAAAAAACACAATATAAAAAAAAATTCTATACCAATAATTGTTCCACTTAGAATCTATATATACTTAGTATGAATTGCTCATAAGGCAGAGTCCTTATTAAAGGTCTCCTACACGTCTACACACACTGCACCGCCAAGACAAAATAATTTTGCCACCACCCCCGTAGTGTGTAGCGACCTTAATAAAACTAAATCGAAAATATTGGAAACTTCTAACTGATTTTGGGTATTTACGTACTAAAGGTAGGTACATAATATAAATATAGAATATGAATTTGGTAATATATGTTTTCATACTTTCATCGGCAGATATTGATCTGTCTGCGTTTTTAGTTTTTAGTATTTCATTAGCCGTTATTGGACAGCAAACTATCGGCTTTAAACCAACGAACTTACATATATCAAGATAATTACGAGTTCTAATACTTTCTTTGAATGCGTTGCAGCGTCTTGTAGATGTACACACATACTTTTGATCTGATTTAAGGGCCTTCCGACATATCTCACCTAACATAAATATACATTTCACATTTGAGCTATAAATATAAGATATAAATCAGTAATTTTCTCACAGTAAAAATACTGTATTAAATGTATTACCATTGATTAAATATACAGTTTATTTTATCAATAAAGTATAAAGTATAAATTATTTTTTTTAATCTCATTTTTCAATTTAATGCTGTAGATATTGATGTATCTATACTATATTTATTTTTTGTTTTATAAATTTCTACGATTTTATTTTATTTTTAAAAACTTAATATTAGTATTTGAAGCTTAAACATTATCATTATATCATTATAATCGTTTAATTTTTAAATAAGTATAAAATTGACAAATTATTCGTAAAATTAAATTGTTTTTACTTCTAATCATAACTTTCTTGACACTCCCTATAGATATTCAGGTAGATTATAGTATTTATAGGTAAAATACGACTTTCGCGGAAGCAATGCGAAAGCAGATCCCGCGGCGTCGTCGGTTAAAACGGGGGGGGAGGTAAAATACGAATCTACACATTTTGAACTATTATATAAAAATTGTTACTACCTATATTATTATTTTGATATTTTTTAAATTAAAAACCTTGTATTAGAATATAATCAAGCCTCTATTCATTTATAAACAAAAATGGTATCAAACTTAAATAAAAAAAAATACAAAACAATGGAAGCTTTAAATAAATATTTGAAGATTATATTAAATAGCACATAATAATTATAATAATATATAAATAATATATTTTGAACATCAACATAATTAAAAAGCTAATATAAATATTTAATGAAAAATTTAAGAATCTACATTACCTAATTCATTTTAAATCAATTTTTTCAAAAAYTATTTTGTGAAAAACCCCTTAATTTTCCTGATTATTTTGAAAAGAACTGGGTTTTTTTTAACTATATTTTTTTCTGCTTATACCTCATGGTTACTTTAAATTCTTCAAAAAAATCCTCCTTGAAATTAAAAAATGAAACTTTTTTTAAGTGTGGTTAAAAACAAAACAATATTAATYTAATTATCGATCACCAAATCTATTGAGTGATAAAATATTTTTATATCACTATAAAAAGAGCTCAMAACTGTTGAAAAAAGTGAAAAAAATATAGCTATTTTCTATATGGTAAGGATAAYTACGGATAAAATAATTCAAAATACTCTTCGTTATAATCAAGGACAGCGAGTTCTATTCAAACATGGTTATTGTTTTAAATACTTTCAGAGTTTCATAATAATAATTATTCGAAGTACAATACTCTAAGGCTTTTAATTCAGTATAGGTACCTATACAAAATATGTCAAAATAGTGTCTTTTAAATTKTAATACTTTTTACTAAAGAYGTATCAATTAGTTATTTTTATTAAAATACCTAGTTTAGAATACAGTGCAGTCCAAAAATGTAGTTCTATAATACGAATATTCTATTTTTATTATTATTTAGATACCTAATAATAATCAGACACTGGAAATTGAATTAATTTAATTTAAGAGTTGATACACAATTTATTCCATAAGTGGTATATATAAAACCATAAAAGTCTAAGTACCTAYCTATTTAAAATATAATTTATCTACAACAATATGTAGATACCTACCTAAAGTTAGATCTTATAACTTCAATTTATTTGAGTTGGGTGCAGGTGTAATTTAAATTTTTTTTTGGTGTTCATAAATATTAAGGAAACCACTATTTTTTATTTAAAATCATTTTACATTATTTATGTTTAATTTACACCAATCAATAGGAGGTTAGATGACATAACACTAAGATTCAAGTTACCCTTGGTGAGAAAAGGAAGGTGTTTTAATAGCATTATAATTATTCAAAAAGCTATCCTTGTATTGTATTCACTGTTAATAAATTAATTTGTTGTTTTGTCCTTAACAATTGAAAAAATGCTTTAAATCTTTAATTTAGCTAATSCAAACAAGTCAAGAATTATAAGCAAATGTAGACTTTGCTTGCCAAAATTATTCTTATACATCTATATAGGTATATAATATTAAAGATTTGGTAATGTAATCGATATAGCTTTCAGTTTAATAAGGTACTTACAATTTTCAAATAATGTATATAATAACTAATGAGTAATGAGTAGTATCGTTGAATCTTTATTTATTAGTCTGATTTGTTATAATTCTGCTAATATACATAGGGTGTTTCATAAAGAACGCAGTTTATGACGTAGGTACATTACGCCAGCCCCCCCCCCCACCAAAATATAATTTTTTAATTTTTCTTTTGCCAAATTAGTACGCCATTAGTGTGAATTTGTGCGACTGTAATCAGAATTTGTGCGACAACCCTTATGCTCGGAAAAATCGGTTTTTCATTTTTCGCATTTCCCCAGCCCCACATCATAGAAAAAACTTTATTTTTAAAATGTTTAATATATTTATWCCTATGAAATTTGAGTGATCATACATAAAAATACATAAGAAATCAATTCGATAAAAATTGAAACAATAGTTATCGAGTTTATTTTACATAAAAATAGATGCATATTTTTACGCCCGCTATTAATAATAAAAAGTAAAAACGAACTTGCTGATAAGAAGTGCAAAGACAAAAATAATATGATGGAGTGATTTAGTGAGTACAATATTTGCATTATTTGATCATTTTAATATTTGTGTTCAAAAGTTGTTTTGGTAATTATCTGCGTGTAATAATAATATAAATATGTCGACAGAACATTAGGTACCTCAAATATGTTCAGCAATCTTTACACTACAATCCATACACCATCAATACAATATTATTATGTAGGTATGTGCGATGTGCCCATGACGTAAAATAATAATAAATAGTATAATTAGTAGTATRATATATATAAAATATGAATAATACCATCCTATAGTAACAGGACTACCGAAATTTCCTGATGAGGAACCATGAGGAATAAGCAGGACGGGTAGAATACAAATGTGCGTGTACCTTCGACTAAACTACAGATTTACGTTCTGCGTATTAAATACCAAAATACCTACTAAAATACGATTGCACGATTGTACAAAATTTGCCGAATGTAATAATATAGGTAACAATATAAATTCTAAAATAAATGTTTTATTTGTGGATACTTATCTTTGATTGTAATGTTGAATTAATTCCTACCTATAATACGGTACCGCGAAAAAATAACCCCGGAAATTTAGACCCCGAAAAAAAGAACCCCGAATAAATAACCCCGTGAAAAAATAACCCCAAATGAGATTTTGCAAATTAAATATTGGTGTTAATATGTCATTGCGTGAAAAAAATTAAAAAATGTTTAACATACCTATTACCTACATACAATTTGTATGTTCCCACAAATAACGTTAATTTTGGATTCAATGATAAATTATTGATAACCTACGATAAAAACGATTCAGAGCACGATGTCAGTCTGTCGGTCATRTCGATCAAATATATAATAACAAGGTACAGCGACTATGTGAAATAATATTATAATGGATAAGAAAGGTACCTTTATCTTTAATGTTCTGATAGAAGCGGTAATTTATAAAATTTGTCAAGTCCTGTGAGTTCATTTCTCAGTATTTGGTACTACAGTGTGCTTTCGTATATTTAATATTATATATTTCTCTTTGCTTTGTTTTAATTTATATTAGAATAATAATATGGATATACTAGATATTTTTGAGAGCCAGAAGGGCAAAAAAAAGTTGGCATTTAAAAAGTATATGTATGTTGTACACAAAGAGTGTTTAAAATTTATAAGGTGGAAATGCTGCAAAAAAATAGTCACAAATGTTTGAAAACTTCCCTGGATAAAAAACGTTTAATTAAAATTGATCATGAACATCATTGTATTACACATTTATGGTGAATATTTTTTATTTATATATTATTGACATTTCCATTCGTTTTTACCGTAATTGAAAAATTTTACAATTTGTTTTAAAGTATTATTATATTATTGAAATTGTATTGTATTACAAATAAGTAGGTGCCTGCAGATCATAGGCGTGCGCACAGGGGGGCTGGGTGGGCCGCGGCCCCCTTTGCGGCCTCTGGCTTTTTCTTTAATAAATGCATAGATATGTATATTATACTAGACAGCGAAATTTTTATATTTTACAAAAAAAAAGTGAAGCCAGTTTTAATCTAATAGTATAAATAAAATATAAATGTGATAAAGTTATTATTTTATTAATTAATCAATTATCATCACACAAGAATCTTTAGTTCGGATCTTTTTAAGGGCCTCCCCCCTGCGGTCAAAGTCTGCGCACGCCTATGCTGCAGATACACCTTACAAATCAATTTTATTATAGGGTTATTTTTTCGGGGTTATTTTTTCCGGGGTTATTTATTAGGCAAATCTATAATACATTATGCATATATATGCACTGAAGACTGAAATTGCACTCATACGTAAGTAGTTAAGTTACCAAAATACCAACTCATTTCACTATATCAGCAACAATAAAATGTATCATCATGGATTTAATAAACAAAGTACTATGATCTATTTCATAAAAAAAAAAAAATCTCATTAATAATTTTAAATAATCAATTAATTAGTATAATAAAATACAAATAGAAAAATGTGTTCATCTTATTCACTGATGAAATTGTATCAACCAATTAAGACATTTGAACGCTTACACCATTACGACTAACCTGACAAAATGACAATAATTATTAATTTCTACACTCCATCATACATATTACATATTACTAAAAAATCAGTGTTCTATAATTCTCCGTTAAAACGTGCACAAACAGTGAGTTCTTAATTTATACAATTTAATTAAAGTTGTGTTATGTACTATTTTATCTTGAATAATAAAAGAATTTGTTTTCACTGTAAAAGGAAAAATATGCAGATTACAAACATTACCTACGCTAATTTGTTTAATAAATTCAGTATACAACTTCAATATACCTAATACTAAATTTAAAAGAAAAATTTGAAAAATACATTTTTAATGATTTTCTCTTGGGAACATTTCTCCAACCCCCTTTTATATTTTTGAATTTACGGTTAAACCAGAATCACACAAATTCTGAAATCAGTCACACAAATTCACACTAAAGTTTAGCGAAAATCATATTTGGGGTGCTGGCGAAATTTACGTCAGTTTTTGAAATCCTGACTTATTTGTAATTGTTAGGAAGGCACTACCGTTCTTATAATTTCTGTTATTTGTGGTTGCTTAGAATTTTAGTGAATAATTGATATATTGTGTATTTTGTTTATTTGTTGCCATGGAGTGGTATACAATAAGCAACGATAAACATGTTTTGTTTATTAAAACCCATTTTATACAATATGGTGAGTGTGTTGCTGTGGCTGTTAAGAAACTTCGTACAAACTTCAAACATGGTGAAACGATGACCGCATCATCAATAAGTGAGGCTGGTCAATAAATTCAAAGAAACAAGATCAATTTCGAACATTAAAACTACTGGGCGCAAACGAGCCCAAAGTTCGATTTCTCGATGTTTCGCTGTTTTTAACGACCCTAGAGAGGGTCATATGCACCTTATCACATTTAACATTTCATTTTTAACCTCAACTAATAGTGAACCAATATGTATCATTATGTATTTCTTATAAAATAAAATTGATTCATAGCAAAATTAAAAACTGCTTTCTTTATGAAACACCCTGCTATAAATATTGTTCATTTATCCATATCAATTATAAAGTAAATCGACGTACCTTCATTCAAGCCAAGATTTTTTACTACTCGTTGTGATGATGTGTTGTATACGCATAAAACGGTAAATGAAACGCCAAATAATAAAACTTTAAAAAATATGGTAATTTCCATTTTCATAATAAAATAAATAAAATAAAATATTTATAGGTGCATAACTTCTGAAAACTGATTCCAGGTATTTAAACGATATGTCGTTGTACGAGTATGTTATAGGTTAGTATAWAATGTTAATTACTTATTTATGTTATAGGAACTATATCCTGTTGTTGTAAAACATCGTATTTATACTATAGGAAACAGCCTTTAAGGAAAGGTAGTGGTGAGTGGTCAATGCTATAGTAGAGCTGCGCAGTACCTACATACTTAAGTGCGTTATGGAAATCACGTTTAAGCATGGATTTCAGTTTACCCTTGAAACATGCAATATGCATTTATTAAAATTCTGGTTTTGAAATTTTGAAGGATACTTATAAAGGACTACWTTTCAAATACTTAGACTTTTATAGATTTATATAATATTTTAAGAGTGCTCCATGGCACGCACAAATTTCCTTTTTTGATTACCAACACTTTTTTTTCTGTTAACCAGAACATTTTTTTTTAAATATTGATTTATCTATATTAAATTTTATTCAAGTTATTAAACTGCATCTACGTATAATTGTCTTTAATTTCTTGTACAGTAAATATTTACGTAATATCAAACCATTTACTCATCTGTACTTAATCGGAATTGTTTGGATTACTGGTAGGTTACTTGGGTTAGGTACATTTCCTTGGCACCTTCATTTTAACATTTTGAAATCAAAGCTAAGGCATTAGATTATTATAATTAGTCTGTACTTRATTGTATCTGCTTACACAATAAGCAGGTAGTAATTATTAGAATTAACAATGCTAAGATTTTCAGTATCTATATAGTATACAGTATCTTTTCCGGTGGGAAAGTGAGTCTAGTTAGTATATTCGGGAGGTCGAATTTGAAATTTTGAGTTGAATTATTTATTTTACATATATTTTAGTCTTCGATTTTTATTAGTTAATTTTTAACAATAATCGATACAATTTTTCATTCAGTCATAACCTTGAAAATGTATTACAAAACTCCTCCTCATTAGTTTTAATTAGTGGAAATCAAAAAAAAAAAAAAAAAAAAATGTACTTTTGTACAGAACGATATGTTTAAACATCTTAAAAAAATTATAAATAAGACATTACATCATAATAATGGAAAAAAAAA